GAATGCCTAAATTTGCTCTGCTCAGTTGTTTTTTACAGTACAGAGGAATGAAATGTCTCAAAAAGAGCAACATTCTAGAAAACAGTAGTTTTCTTCCAAAATTGCCTCATCTGTGGAGGATTCTTTTGATGAACACTTCATCAAAGGTAAGATGGAAATGGGACTGATTACTGGGTTGATTTTTCTATGATGTCTTGCGTGACTGACACCTCTCATCCAGCCTTACTCACCAGACAGCCACTAGACAGCACACTTCCTGCTGGTTGGTTCTCCTGTCAGGAACAGCCTCCCTTCTACCCGACAGTGAGGAGTAACGAGTGTGCTGAATGCCACCCCTGAGTGCCGTACCCCTGAGTGCCGTACTCCTTCAACAGAACATTTACATTTGCTTGTTGTTGCTTCTCCACTTATGGGTGTCTATGTATACATTATATGTATACATTATATGTATACATTTGTGAAAAGGTAGCAGACACTATGACCCTTCATGACTACTTTACAATGTATCTCCTAAGAACAAAAACACTCTCCTGTGGAACCACAAGGTCATCATCATACCCAAGAGATTTAACTCTGGTGCAGTATTTTTTATTATACATCCCATATTTAAATTTCCCTAACTGTCCTCCCAAATTGTCTTTTACATTTTCTGATCTGGGATCCATTCACAGAAAAAGTACTGCATTTTGTTGTTATGTCTATTTAGTTTCTTAGACTATTTACATTTTATCAGGACCAGCAGTTGGTGTAATGGCTATGTTGCTGGATGCCCATGTAGTCGACTATGGTTTGAGTCCTGAACCCAGTGGCTTAAACTCATGCTGGGCGTGTGTGCTTGTGTGCCCAAGATCCCGAGAGAATGGAGAAGAGAGTGCAGCATGGCCATTGCACCTGGGGGGTGATTTCTCACTTTCTGTCTCTGTCTTCCTGGACAGCACACACACTCTACAGCAAAAAAAAAAAAAAAAAAAAAAAAAAAAAAAAAACTGTATTTACATTTTATCAAGTGCTCTGTAAAGGGAATTCCTAAACTCGAGCCCCTTTTTTATTACTCTAAAGTAAAGCACTCCCCCAGAGAACTGAAAAGGTGAAGATGAACAGCTTCCCCTAGGAATCTGCTTGCAGACTTTGGGGGAAGGACACTAAACAGTTCTGGAAGCAACCACCCCACATCAGTGAGGTCAGCCTGTGCCGTTAATAAAGCCCTTAGTTAAGCCAGGCAGACTTCATATGTGACTAAACAGTTAAAATTTTACAGTACAAGTGATTTTATGCCACAGTGAAAAATAAAGTTTTACAGTTTATGGGGGGGGGGGCATCAGGGGGTATGGTGGTTAAGGGTGCTAGACTCTCACATGGCTAATTGCAGTTCAAGTCCCAGACCTGGCAGGCTGCTTTCTTGCTTTCTGTCTCTCTGCCTCTCTCTGGTCAAATTAAAATAAATAAGTAAAGTCAAATAAAATAATTCTTTAAAAAAAATCTTTATTCATCCATTTACTTATTTTAATTTGA